AGCGACAGCCCCTTATTGGCCTAATAGTCTTGGCCAGTTTGACGAGAGATAGTAGCCTGCAACTCCTTACGTAGATTGACACCAATATCCACTGGCAATCAGACAGGCCAATGTCTAAGCATAGTCTTTGTCTCTGGTCGAAGATCCTACCACGTAGTTGGGGTGCTTGTCAATCCACAAAAGGGCGTAGCTGATTCATTATCATAAAGCCCAGTAGTGTGCAAGAAAGATACTGAATATATTTTTCCTGCGTCAGATTTCCGGCAAGATATACAACACGATCTTAAAAACCTAACCCTCAGCACACAATACGAATTTGATCGTCCCTTATCCCGGTACATATCTCCTTAAAATATCACAATGGGTCTAGCCGTCGCGCGTCTGGTTTGGTCGTACATGACATCGAGCTTTTTGCTGGGGATCGATAATCTAGGAACGTTGAGTAGGTAGTAACAAGATCGAGGTGCCCAAGGTTTCGTCTCCTATTAATACGGGCTAAGATCCGTTCCATCCCGAATAGGTGAGCTTATTTAAGCGTTCGACACTAATAAGCGATACTACTGTAGGGAAGCGAACCCAGTCCCGCGGGGAATAAAGGGCTAGCTTGATCGGAATTTAATCTTACGTACATCGTGAAGCTCCGTGCGGTTTCTATCTAACGAGGGACTACGTAGTCGCCCGAAGCGTGCCGGGACCATGCCTGCTCGACACCTTAGCAACACCGCGGATCTAATAATAGGTAGTCCGGAAACGGAGACATCTAGAATATCCGAGAAGATATGCGAAGCTCCGGTCTCCAAAATCCGATATGACCGTGTGTCCGTCCGGATTGAACTTGCATTGGCTAATTGAACGTATAAAATATCGATATGTACCCCGTGCCCATTAACCCGGTGTAATACTTCATAATCATGACGTTTGATCGCAGCTGGAGAAGGAGATCCGATCTTGTGTGACGGCGTCACGACAGAAACAACATGGCTTCGTCGTCGCTCGCACAGTGTTGTGTCCGACGTATTCAAGTCGTCAGATGCAACCAACCTGCTGAGAAGAATGCCTGCCTGCAAATACCAAGCGATGCTGATGAGCCAGTGAGCTCCCGCACACTATAGTATATATTCTTAAACTCCTATCCTGGGCCAATTCTTTCATCTCATTCGATCCGTAGAATATGCAGTAGACACACCGAGATCCTTCTGGTGAACTTCGTATGACCGTCTCCGGATACACTGCTACTTTCGGCTCCGGCTTCTTTACAAGATGGAATTCATTACTATGATTCGTCGAGCTTCCAATACCAGCCACATACATAGGTGCCAATACCAACATATCTAGGAGACAATGCTCCGCAGAGGATTGCGACCAGGTGACCATCCGGGAGATGCGGCCAAGCAGGGCTACAGAATTAACTCAATTCATTACTCGTCTTGCACGACTCAATTCTAATAAGACATTCCCCATCATACGATATGCCTTCATCTAATGCAGATCAGATCAAAGCATCATTGACCATGGTTCGATTACAAGTAAAGCGACAGATTTGGTCTTTCGATGTACGTACACGGCAAGTAAAACAGCGGTGAATCCGCAGGACCGGGAACAAGGTCAAGAATTAGAGGCACCCAGACCTTGATTCAGACCTTGTCTTACCCCAAAGAGTTCAATTAACGCCAACGACGTCCTCCGCACGAGCCTATCTCCGCATGTTCTAATTATGTATGTAGGTACTATGTAGGGATCTCTTATCGCTTCGTTGGGAAAACCCGTGCCCCCTTCTTAGATACACGAAACTTCGTTGCAGATGGGTCTGGGGTATATTGCGTACAGCATACGTTCATGTGCGAATATGCAAAACGCGAGCATCCTCGTCTAGTCTATCGGCATGTCAGCCGATGGTCAAACTAGTGATCGGTCTCTCGTGGCCTTGCTGAACACGACAGGATAGAGTACTCCAAGCTCTAAGCTCTTACAGGACAGCAGAACCTCTCAATTACGATCTAATCTCCAATTCGGCATAATAGGTACCTAAGTTACCTAATATATAGCTGCTTGCTCAAATTGGAGTAAGGGGTAGAACATCTAAGCCATACTATTGTCCTACCCGTATTTGAGGCGTGGGCTACCTACCAGGTAGTGTGATGTGACAGTCGAGGCGCCACCACGCATACTTCTAATAAGACCTAAGATCGAATAGCCGAGCATGCCGTGATTCATCCGCCATCGGAACAGATATAGTCAGCCCACTTCACGTTAAGATATCGCATACCGGCCGTTTACGTTCTATACAACATCCGGTTGTGGATGGGTTTAATGGTAGACGGTCGGAAGACTCGGAATGCAACCGCCTCTCGGTCAGTCCGTCTTGCCCCAGCCGTCCGACGTCTGTAATCAAGGCACCTTAGAAATAGATTGAAAAACTGAAACCAGATGGATTTTTTTCTTCCCGTCCTTGTGAAGATATCATGTGAACTATTAGATATTAGCTAAATGTGCAGCCTTGGTATCGGTGCTAGCTCACCGGTGATCTACGAGGAAGCATTCGTTCTAGATGCAACGCTACCCCCAGAGGCAGGGTTGTTAATAAAGGTGGTGTTGGCTAGAAATAGGCAATGTGCTCTTAACTTTCAAGACTAGCCTCTATTATGACTGATAAAATAGAAGCTGCTTGTACGCGTGGTTACTAACTTAAACTACAGTGCCTTCACATTTATATTGCACACAGTCTCCATCCTACAGTCCATTATATCCGTTAGATCCCCGGACTACTAAAACTTCTGAGACAAACAGCTTCTAGCCATATCAGCAATCTGGTCCTGCAAAGGTCTCTAGTTCCTTGTGCATTAGTAGAGTTATCTTACCACTCCTTGCTCGCATCCTCGCAGCTATCCCTTTCGTGAATACTCCAACTTGTAGATAAGTAACTGGTCCAGCTATATACTTCCTAGTCACTGCTAGCACATAGTCCCCTTTTCACCATTCGAATGGTAAAAGTGGCAAAGGCTAACGCTATCATCGACCTTGCTAGCGGCCAAGAAGCGGGGGGATGTCAAGGTGAGGAGTAACCAATCTCCCCAGCGTAGGTGCGTATAGGTATGCACACTTACAGTAGTATGACGCCACAATCATATGGCGTGTTAAACACTGTACAGGCGCAGGGCGATATCGAAGTCGACCGTCTGTCTTGGCACGAAATGGTTCTCCGCAACTAACTACATAGGACAGTGTGCGGCTGGTCGCAATAGACGTGCTGTCAGGATTCTAGATGGGACATCTAGAACAAAGGATACGTTCAGTATGTATAGACTTAAACTTCTATAGTTAGGTTAGAGTTCCTTGCGGAACAAGAAAGATGTTTCCATGCTGTTTGATTCCACCTCGTGACACGTGCTGAGAATTTGGGAAAGCATTGGACGAGTAGTTATGGTCCAGTTCACTTCGTGCTTACCTCTCTAAAGACCCTCGTTTTATCATGAGCTTAAATTTACCTAAAGCTGAGTCGCTAATTCCCAGAAGATCATGTTGGTGATCTCAAACCTTGTTGTAATTGCCAAGTTGTTAGTACAAGCCATTACGATGAAACAACATATGACTCTTAAGTCATATACCTCCATGTTCACGACTTGGAGTAAACTAACCACCAAAACATATCTTATCATGACGATCTTCCTGTGAAACTAACTTATGTTCTCGGTGTAGTCTTTTAACATGTAAAGAATATATCTTGACAATAGTGTTGATTATCTAGAGAGAGTGGGACCTGAAAAGGAGACATTTGGCCTTTACTTACTAGATATTTTGCATGCTAGTCTCCAAGGGTTTTACTATTGTAAACATAGTTACTTGAGGTACACATATGTAAAAACGATCATGTAGCTCTATGTTTCACGCTCTCCTTAATCCCCTAGATGATAGACGAAGAGTTGTGTAAACGTAGAGAGGCGAAACGGTTAAAAAATTAAAGGCACATTTAAACTATTGGTGAATAAACTTGAGTGTTACCTACTAACTATGCAGTTTAAAAGTAGTCTCCCTTTAAGAAATCATAATATTTTTACACGGAATACTATACTTATTAACCATATCTAAAGAGGCCGTTGCTATTTATGAGTCCTTAGTAATAGTTCCTTTCTATCATAATTGGATTTTGTAGTTTTGAGATATAATTTATATAACGGTAACCTCTCAAAAATAAGGTTGCCTACTGTTAATAGACTAAGTTGTCTCGTCTTAGCGCAGACTAAACAGGTACCTACCTAGGTAGGCATCTCTAACAACGGACAATAATTAACCATATATTCACATAGTATATTTAGGTCACAGTATATTGAAGTTTTCGTTTTAATCTAAGCCTAAACTACCTCGGTACCTGTTATTGGAAGTGTATACATAGGATGGCTGATGGAAAGCTACCTAGCTAATATTATTGTTTTATGTTTTCACCGAAATGACTAAGGATGTATGTTATACGCCTCGATCAAACATATAACCTAGTTGGATTAAAAGCAAATAAACATATTTACAATCAAATATGAAAAGTGAGAATCATTTTATTAGCGCTGGCTATTGCATCTTCTCGTTCCAATACTATAAGAGTTGTGTTTGTTGAACTATCTCATCATCTGCAGTCTGGGTATTCCTTAGGTTGTGTTTCTGACCTCATTCTTTTCAGAGGCAGCTAAGTTTGAGGCTGAATTGGAGAGCTGTGCTTATTCCTGAATGAGTCACTTATACCAGTCATAATGACAAGGCACCGAGAATAATGAGTCTAGTGATAAGCACGCCTTTGGTACCTAGCGTATTCTACTAGTTCGCGTACTGAAATTATTGATATCTCTCAACACTATACAAGCATAATGGCTACAATTATCCTCTCATTGTAAATATACCGTAATCGCTACGAGAATATGTATCGGGAAAGACCTTAGTAACCTTTTCTCTTACTATTTGATGCTCCCATTCCTTAGCCCATAAAGGAGCATCCAGCAATGAAAACGAACACGTAAGACCAGCAAATTTATATATTTAAATACCTGCTATCATATGATGTGTTTTGGGAAAGAAATCTTGTCTACCCGGTAATCATGCTATGAAATTAAATTACAGACAAAAGTGATATTATGTTGATATAAATGTAATGAAACCAATAAACGCCCCACGATCGAGCCGACAGACTTTGATATGACTTTTGCCGATGGGACCAGCCCATCCCGTGTTGTACAATAACAATACACTCCTACTCTAGAGTCTTATGGTTTCAATTATATTGGATTCTATGATAAATCATAGTTAGTATCAACGCGCTACGGAGTAAGGGCCTTTTCTTTCAACCATGCTGTTTTCCGGGTTAAATGCCAGGTATGTAGGTACTTACTTCGTATTATGCCGTTCACCTCCCAATCCAGTAAGTCGGGAGGACCCCCTGTCTCGCAATCGCTTCTGCAATTTGCGCGTCTGTCATGCTCTCTTGGCCATTGATAGCGTACCAAGGGGAGTCGTGGAGCAGATAATAAGCCTGGCCGACCGGGACGTCAGCGCTAGAGGCGATGATAACTCCAGGCTCGTCCGTCCGCATCCGCGCTAGCTGGGCCCATAAGGTGGCCCGCTGAGCGGCGTCGAGTCCACGTGCCAGATGGAAGACCGGGGTATATGAGCGGTCGGACCGGGCCGTGAACTTGGCCCGGAATGTCGGTGTTCCGTCGATCGGCCGTAGATGCTTGCCGCCTAGGGTAAAATATCCGGCGCAGTTGCTGCAAGGCTCGCCACGCCTTAGAAGCATAGCGTCGACAATTGGATATGACCCCGGGGAGTCAAATGCTTGAAAGTACGATAGTAGCATGTTTTCCTCGGCGTGCGGGTGGTGTCCACCGTCCCCCGTTCCCGCCATCGCCGTCCAGAGATCTGCTTCTCCGTCCGCGAAGAGTAGAGACGCCGACAAGTCGACCTGGTCGCTAGTGCGGAGGCCACTGCGCACGAATTGGTACAGAGCACCTACTAACCCCAGCTGTGCATAGTTCAGGCGTACCGTATGTCCACTGGCGTTCTTGATGCGGAAGCTAGGAAGCTCGACGAATATGAATTGGGGCATGGCGTCGAACGGTTAGCGGCACGGGATATTATAACTATTATATGATTAAGTAGAGAAGAGGACTGTCCTAGATGATATAGAATGAAGGCTTTCAATTTGATCATCGATGGCGTAGAGTCCGGTGATAGATATAGGAGATCGATCATCCCATGCCGAACGACCATTGCCGGGAGATAGGCGAACTGGTGCCTGGTGCCTGGTACCTGCTTCTTCGTAGCGAGTACAATTATCCAGTTCGTAGTATTCTTCACGGTAATGATTCACACGCCATGAGGTGAATCAGACGGCAATGTATCAAGAGTCACTGCTGACCCGCGGTAATCGAAAGCACACCTGTGACGAATGGGGAAGCTCCTATGGACAGCGACGAGGTTGATAAGTTCACGAGAGGGAGAGGGGCACCACGGGAAGGGCTAGTCAGGGGAAAGATAGATACCCATACCGCGAATAGGCTATTGCAAGGTTGGTATATGTATTCTCCGAGAAAGACATCCCAGATCTCCCGATCGCCATAGATTCCGCTAGGGAGTTGCTCATATCTTCACCCACGTTTCAGCTTCTTCGGTAGCTGGCTTCCTTTAAAGGTAAGCTGACGCAAATTCGACCGTGACGTCTTTGAACGCGGTCCTGAATGAGGCTGATAATGATCGGGAAACCTACCGTGCAGCATGCAAGCCATAGTAAGGCTGACCCAGCAACCTGGTAATGCATCTCGGATGTTTACTTTTTTGTCTTGATCATCTTGGTCGTTATGCTGCTATACTAGCACCACTTGTGAATTATCGATACGTAAGTGCCCTTGGCTAGGGCTTGACATGATCGAGCCCCCCGGAGTTCGTAATAGAGTAAAAGCTCAGGCCGGGAGTTGCTTCACCGTACACGCGCCGAGCGCGATTCTAGCGTGGACACGTTGATACTACATAGCAAGGTCAAGATATGCTAACACGAGGTTATGTAGAGTGGATAGGGTATTGACTTGCTATGGAACCCAGGTCCCATGGGGATTCGGTTCTACTTTGGGGTTATCCCGGGTTCTGGGTATTTGATAGACGGGCTTGATGGACATCCGACTCGTCGACTGTTGAAGTTTCAAATTGAAGTTCGTAACGGGTATGCATAGTACTAGGACTCAACCATTTCGTGTCTAAATTTGGGCTGGTTGTTTTTGACGAGTAGTTGCTCTCGGCCGGCGTTCTGCTCGGATAGTGGGACAAGGGGATATATGCGGCTACGTGGCGGGAGCGCAACGAGGCCGAAGATCCAGACTCGAACAAGTCCCGTGAACCTGCAGAACCCTGTCGCTAGATCACCAACTAGAAGGACCGGGGAACGAGACTATTCCCCGTATAGCCTGCATGAACCCTAGCAGACCTGAATCGTACATACATATGTAATCGTCTAAGAACTTAAGAACTTTATAATCCATAACCCTAGGTCTGTGGTCCTGGTAGCCTGGGTCGGGTCTTGAAGCCCGTCGCTTGGGGACTCTTACAATAGCATCATCTTCCCACCCCTTGCAACTTTGAGAACGAACCAGGAACCACCAATGATTAGGTAAAATAAAATAAAAAATAAAAAATTTGACGTCACGAGGTAATTCGTATTTTGTATTTTCTCGTTCCCCCGTTCCCGCACCGGACTTGGTAATTAGTATAATTAGATAATTAGTATTATTTACTCGGCGAAAATAAAAGCCTTTTTCTTCTTTTGGATTTAGTCGGCGGCACAAGCCAGAGCAAAGCTGGTGCCAACTGAATGAGGCCTCGCGCTTAGATCATCGTCCTAGAGCCAATCTGGAATGGTTATACGCCAATCGACGACGCCAATCCATAACCGTTTGACCGTTTATGGGGTTCCTTCGTATTGTTACCTGTCCGTGTGTTAGCCTCAGCACAAGCCCATCAGCCTCAATCTCATTCTTATTAGCCAAATCGCTATAGGTGCTCGGATCGTTCCATGATTGGACAATCTCCGAATATCGTCTTCGACCTTCTTCACCATTAGCGCATTTCATTGGTTCTAGCGCCAAGCGCTTTCGTGATGCACTCCCCTTTTACCTATTCCGGCGGGGGTATCGTGGGGACCGCCGTCTTAGTCGAACGACCTCTTATCTTCTTATTTTCCGGCCTCTTCTTTTTCTTCTCACAACTTACCTCCTAATTCTTCTCAACGACTACATTAGCGGTTGTCGACGTCAAAGCCAAGTCGCGTGCGCCATCTCGTAGTCGCATGCGTAATGATTTTAGGCCTCCTAAGAATATGTTGTCACTATCTTGAGAGTCATCGCACTTAGTACGTCCCGACTTGACTCGGCGAAATCAAACCACGCTGACACCGATCGCAGCTTCAACCCTCGTGCTGATGGGCTCAAACAATAAGCTGATTTCATATCAACTTGGCCAATTCAACCGAAATCTCAAATTCTGCAATCAAACTCATGTTAGCTGAGGGTGAATGGCGCCGTGTTGTACTACGGTTGATCTCGGCCCTTCTGTCGGATAGGAAAAGCGTTGAGATTATTTGCTCGCAAGTAAAATCAACAGTCGGCCGTCGCCTTAATCTAAATGGTCCGCTACGGCCAAATCCGAATCCTTATGGTGTACCCCGGGGGCAGTGTAGAACGGTAGAAGCACTCCGCGCGGAACATATCCCGAAAACCCTTCCAAATAAGGCGAATCCGTCGGCAACTATTTCTATTGTTGTTGTTGGTTGTAACACGAATTATAAAATGTTTTTTTTTTATATATATCGACACCCTTAATGACGTCTTAATTGTGTGGTACATAATGAATACCATCGATCAGCCCTATTGCAGGAATATGTTGGTTTCTAATCATATTAACTGGTGGAAATCTTACTATGACTGTGCGAATAAGAGTCGGTGAGATCCTATCAATCCCGAGGATACCTACCTCGTAATATTCGTAATTCAAACCAACGTACATATTTTTAAAAGTTCCTCACAGTCTTTGCGTCTTTGTTCGATTAGTTGCTATCTATCTCCTAAGTTCTATTCGGATGGCGGAAGCACTAGTATTCTCTGTAGCTTCTTGAAAATAAGCTAGGTAGTTACAGGCACTTTGGGCGATCTAAAGACCAAACAGCGACAGAAGCTAGCGCATCTGAAAGGAAGATGATGTGACTATCGGTACTCTCTAAGTTCCCCAAAATCATCCGAAACGCGATCGTCTCTCTACCAGGCAGCTTTCCGCAATATTGAGCCACGTAGCATATTTTCCTCTAAACTTCATATCATCGATCCAATATACGGGTCGCGCTTACCATCCGGCGAGTACTCGACCGTGTACTGTACAGTCTTCTGTATTTGAAGTCCCTTTTCCTCGTGTAGCGTATACTCTTCTGAGCTGGAATCGGCCCTACGAAAATTGGCTAGATTGGCGCCCTCGTATCCAACTTTACCGTTGTTGATGCGCGCCCATTTACCCTCTTCCGACTTGGAGTGACTCCCGCTGCTACTCGGATAGGATTTTGGCAAGCCACTGCTAGTGTAAGCGGCGCGTTTGTCCGAATTCTCACGAGAATTGGAGTAGGAGGTAGGCATCAGTCTTGGGAACCACTTGATAATTAGGGGGCGGATCTGCGGAAGACAAGCACACACGAGCGCTACGTTCATCTCGATGATGGTCCACATGGTAGAGGAAATATCGTAAGTTGGGTCTGGTGTCCTTGCTTGCATATCTATGGTTGTGACTCTTAGACAAGAAGTGATAACCACGCTGTTGCCTAGCATTAGTAAATTGATATTAAGATGTGCTACAGGCTACTTACAATACACCGAGAGCAAAGACGATCATCAGTGCAGCCTTTTGGACTCTAGGTATCTGCAATGCGTAGACGAGAGTCATAGGGAGAGTGAGGATGATGATATCGGTCGCAATCGAGAAGCCAGAGTTGGCGTACCAGAACTTTCCATTATCTATACAGGTACCCTTGATGGACTTGTCGAACGCCTTGGTAATCGGGGTGCATTGGAATATCGTCACCGTAACCGATGCGATGCAGTACATGATCACAATGAGCAGCATGAAGCGGCACGCACGCCTAAACCACTTGGTATTGCTGAAGATTCTCAGGTAAAGTAGAAGGATTGACGCCTTTGTTAGGTTGATACAGGTCTTGTAAGTCACCTGGCAGAGGTAGAAGTACTACATCCAAAGGGTATCCAATTAGTGATATTATTCCATGCAAGTATGGGGAATAGATCACAAGTATCTGAGAACACACCTTGAAGGCTTGGTATTTGTCAGGACTAGACAAACTGTAAGTATGTCTTCCATAACCGTAATGACAAGCTGCAAGCATGATTCCGCTTGAAGCCAGGGCGAATCCCTTGGGTAAAGTCGTCAGCACATGTAGTTCATCACTGGTCTTCACGTACGCCTTAAGGCTTTGACTTACAAGTGATACCAGAATAGTCCAGTCATCAGCGCCAAGATGTCCTCCGTTTCCCAGCCTCGACCATATTCTGGTGCCGACAATGATGGGGCAGATAGCCAGAAAAACGCCAACAGGAACGTATATCATCTCGGAGTTGGTATCATAGTAACCAGGATCATCAGGGGATAGGTTGCCTCTTGGGAAATTAGACATCTTGACAGAATATAACCAAGTGGCCAAACTTGTTATGACGATAGTTTCCTTGGAGTCCCTTAGAGTCTAGATTGCATGATAAGCTGTAGACAACACAACAGAATAGAGTAGCTCTATTTTGAAGTGTGAGCGCAGGAGATTGGATGTTGACGATCAACAGATGACAAACATAGAACAGTTCCCTTTCGCAAGATACAGGAGAAGTGTATACGGGCCCGAATTGCGAACTTGGTGGTGGTTGAGTGTTTTGGGGGGTTTCCAGAAAGTTGATGTGATGGTGCGATGCCGACTGCTATATCTGATGACGGGCGACTATTCCTTCCAGAGTGGCATATCTTAAATTGTAAGAGCAACCATCAAACTGGAAGTCTTAGATTAATTGAATACTTTGGTACACTCGCGATATACATGTACCTACCTTGTATGTATGTAGTTAAGGAAAGTGCATGTGTGTACACTCGCAATTGCGTACTGGTTGGTGCTACGTCACTATACGCATCGTAGGTATATAGTTCCTTCCCTGGGAGAGGTGTACCCCATAGAAATAGAAATAGAATTTAGCAATAGACTTTACTGCGACAGAGATTAAGCAGCTACAATCACTTGCCCTTGGTCGCTTCCAAGGCTTCTGCGCCATGGCTACATGTAAGGATGCATTCAAGACCAGCAGCCACAATGAAGATCTCAGGTGAGACATAAAGTGAGGTAACAGCCGCATACTTAGGTAGATATATACTTTGACAGGGACGCCGATAACTGAACTTTGGAGAATATTGGAATACGCCGACTCATTCCCTCCCTTTTCATATGCCTTAACTACCTATGGTATGTATTTAGTCTCCCACCCAAGACAAGCACAACAAGACGGTGGAACATAACACCACTAGTCATTTCGTATGTAATACATCCGGGTGTTGTTAACCGACTTCAGGGCGAACTGAGAACCGACAAACTTTGAGAGTTATGCTGTCATAACTAACTTATATAAATATATTATCTCTCTCTCTCTCTCTCTCTCTCTCTCTCTCTCTCTCTCTATATATATATATATATATTTGCTAACCCAAATAATAGCCACGTCGCGTGCGCCATCTATCACGTTTGCGTATACGGCTATCTCGGCTGCCCACTTGCTT